CGTATTTTTACTAATTTATACAAATTCGTTCAGCTATCTGGCAAACTGTTGTGCCTCACCCACTTCGGTCTTCATCCACGAGGGTACTAGGGCAGTGTAAGTAGGCCAGATTCAACTCAGCGACCTCGGCATGGTCTAAGTTAACATTCCACGGTCCTCAATATAAACACAGGACCATTGTTTAAATAAACTTCTTGGATGGCCAAAGTCACTGTCGACGCTCTGTCCAGATTCGTCCTAGGCTTTTACGACTCAAAAAAACCTAAATTTATGCAAAAATATCCGTCAGATGGGTGTAATTTGACGGAAGACAGAGCCCACTGAGACGAATAAGCAATAACTTATTTTTAAAACCACAAAACGGTTTTTATTGCGGACCTTCTAACAACGGTTCTTTTTGTAGTCGCTTCTGAAGCAGCTCAACAGCTAAAGCCTTGTCGACTTGTGAGGTACTACGTTATTGGTCTACCTAATGCGTCTGAGGATATTTACAGGCTTCTACTGCCAGACAATACCAATTTTCTATAAAGGTAAAAATATTGGAATGAAACTACTTGACCCGGGATCTCCAATAACAAGGTCAATTGCATGAAACATGACAAGTTCCATAGGTTTATCGCTGCCAGATCAAACAACTGCAGTCGACAGGATTAGGAGTTCGTCAATACTTAGGGCAGGAATCATAGGTAGGCATTGTGGCGACCAGCAAGCCAGCACAGCATTCGTGAGCGAACGCAGTTTGCAAGTGCGACCGAACACAAATCAATCGATTTTTTCGTGAATGCACTGTTGTGGACAGACAGCCACTGCGCGCGTGAGTGCTGCGTGTATGCTTGCCCGACTGTATCAATGACTCACCCTCTTTGTTATTGGCTCTTGTTAGCAGTCGCCTGTAGCGCACGCGTATCGATACGCACAGAGAAGTTAGTTAATCGATATTACTCGACTTGACTGACTGGCGTGACGCGAATAAACGGTCGTGTTTTTTTTTCGACTTTTTGTACTTTCTCTTCTCGGGTTGTGACCGGCTGTTATCAATAGGGTTGTGTGGCAGTGCTAAACTCGGCCCCTACAGTACCTTTATAATGAATGATTAATTCACATTTTCGTGTCCTAATAACCGACCCAGCACCAGACAAGCACGTTGTACGTAACTGTAGAGTCGAGGTGGACACCTTTCAGCAGCTTGCACGATTCTATAGGGTTAATCTGATTTGGAGCTGAATTAACCATGGCTAGCCACGGCTCTGTACCAAGAACTATTCTTTAGGCATAAAAGTCATGAATTTTCGGGGAAACGTCTGCGTGAAAGCAAGTGGTAACTTGGGTCAAAACCCATAAAAGGTGATTATGTGTTTTCGTCAAGTCATTATGTCCCTGGACAGAATAACGAACACTAATTCCAATTTAAGTAGAGTAACACTAGCTTTCAATAAAAGTGCCCTTTGATTTGAAATCATTGCTGTAACGAAGTGACTCGGTACTTTTGACTTGCATTCAAGCCGCCGATTCCCAAACTTTGACCTGAAACCATTCCAGCAATGACGGAAATGCTATCCGCCTTTTTTCAAAAAAACACACGACAACTGGAATCTGACCTGTAAGTGCTACCACCACGTCAGTCAGTTGATTAGGCGAATGAGTGTTGATGCAAATCTCCGAACTAATAGTTGCCAATGTTGTGAATCGTGTTTATTCACACCCCTTAAGCCGGTTGCTCCGCTTCCGACATAGGGTTCCCCTTTTCGCAGCATGTCGCCAGCCGCGCGGATCCTCAACTCCCTCCTCATTCACACGGATATTTATTTTGGAGTATCCTCACACCTAGGTCTCGATGTTAGCGCATGTATGACTCACACATCCGAGCTATAAATACACACGCGCAAATCCCACACACGACACCGACGAGATTGAGCTCTGAACTAAACGGTTGTGTCCACGTCCTCCCTCATCGTTTTCTTCATCGCGGGTATTAGGCAAGCGTAATCGAGCCAGGGTTGATTTCGTAGCCCCGGCGTGGTTCAAGACCACATGCAGGGGCCCACAACACATTCTTTTTTCGGCACGCCAAAGGCTTCTCGGAATAAGACAAGACCATAGGTTGTGCGGAAGGTTTCACTGCATGAGACAAGGGTTCGAGTACGCGATGGAGCCAAAGCGGGATTCGGAGAAGAGGTCCAACAGATGCTAAGATGTGCCTAATCGATCTCCGATCGATGAGTTAAGCAAATAACACTGGCCAATGAGTTGTTGCAGTGAACGGACGACCGAAGTGAAAGTAGAATTGTGACCAACTGAGGAGAATTTGAGTGGATAGAGGCCCCATCTTGTCGCATCACACCTTATCCCATTATCTACCCTCTGTCTCCGATCAGTGAGTTGTTCAATTCGCATAGCATAGTCCTCGGTGATTTCGCAGCCACTCAAGAGGTCGTAGAATGAAGCGAGAGGTATTAAAAGTCTAAGTTATTTCGCATCGTCGTAATGCAGTCATAGATAAGTATGCACACACACACACAATTAAAGTAGCTAGAAGGTACGACGAGGCGCGTGTTTGTGAAAATGCACAGAGCCAGTCACATGAGACTGACGCCCAAGTCGGTGCCCGCGCCCGCACCCAGAAGCTGGGGGTCGCTCGAGCAGCGCCTAGGCCGGTCCTCGTCCCGCACGAACACCAGATGGTGCTGCACGCGGCGTCTGCGTGGCGCGGTCATCAGGGCGGCGCCTGTGTGGTGCGTGGGGTCCTCCCAGCCACGAGGGAACGACGCCACGTAGGTCGAGGGCGAGAGGCTGCTCACGCAGCCGGGCATCACGAAGGGCTGGAGCTCCAGGGGCAGGAGTTGGCGCACGTTGGCGGCGCGACGCAGGACAAGGTCGCGCGCCAGACCCTCGCGTTTCCGGCATCCGTGCGAGTGGAAACGCGGTGGGCTATGGCTCTCCTCGTCGCTGGAGTTCTCGAAGCTCGAAAGATCCCCAGTGACACGGGTCAAACAGTCATTGCTTAGAGAGCGTGGCCTTCCAGAGTCTACGACGGAATCGAATTAATACGCGTTAGGAGGCTGGAAATGGCATTCAAGCAAAACGGTGCCGTTCAAGAAATCCAACAACTCACCAAGCCACAGGTCAGCAGATATCAACAAGCGTGCCTGCTCCTCATCCACATGCAAATTGCGGTCAAAAGTTCCGTTGTCTGTCATTTGGTCGTCGTCGTCGTCGTCGTCAATGTGTGACGTTACCGTGGTAACGGTCCCACTGTCAAGGTCACGCAGTCGACGCAGGAGGCTGTGCGCGTTCACGTACTCACCACCGCCACACCGTGTGCCTCGTCTTGGCCGGGGGAAGAGAAGGAGGGTTTTGACGGCCGATGGAGTCGGCGCCACGTCGTCTAGACGGTCGCGAGCACAGTTCTTCGACAGGCCTGAAGGATGAGCACATTGAATTTGCTTACACTACGTATTGAGGAGGTTCCAAATGAAGCTCGATCCATTCTACATTTGATCTCCGCCGAACAAAGCAAGCAAAACCATAAACACCCACTAACTGCCCTCATAACCACCTCGAACTAACCCTATGTGGACTCAAACTGTGTTATTAGAAACCAGCCCTCGTCCTGCCAGCACACCACGATGTCAGCTTGATAACAACCAGTAAATGCTCGACATAAACAGAGAGTAAACCTACTATTTTCACCAGATGACGAAGAAATCTCCTTGATTGAGAGTGCGGACTTCCAACCCATGGCCTGGAAGCGCTGACTAATCCTCCGTGCTTCGTTCACAATGTCGGCGTTGAAAAAAGACATCGGGATGCGCTGATAAGGCGCTCTATGCTTCCTGGGCCCGCGGGCTTTCGAGGAACCAAGGTGATGCCGAGGGTCTCGCGGACGCCAACCTTGAACCCGCTTGGCTGCCCCCAGAACCCGGTGACGCGGGCTCACATGATTAGCTGGTAGCAGCTTCGTGGATGCAGGAGATGAAAAGGCGTTCGCGAGGTTATCATATTCAGCTCTTGAAGGAAAAGTACAAAAATAAGTACGAACTCCAGAATGCACACGGCCAACAGAGCGTTGCCAATGCAACTCTTAGTCTAACACCTACATCTCTTCGCCCGCAGTGATCGTCGGTTTCTGGGGGCTTGTGAGATCCACCAGAAAGTGCCGCCCATTAACCACAGGAGGTGATCTGTGATTGGTGGATTGGATCTGCAGGGGCGGTGGTGGTGGTGGTGAACGCTGATTGGCTCCAAAGTTAGGCAGACCGACGGGTGCAATGTCCGGGAGGCGCCTTGTCTCCGGAGGCCTCACATCCGATTGGTCGTCTTCCGTCAGGGGGAAGTACGCATTCTCCAGGAACGAACCGTCGTCATCTTCAATATCGCTGGGGTCGCCAAATAGTACCTGGCAAGGAAAAGTGATTAAGCATTACGGTTAGTCGACAAAGCAACAACAGCAGCCACGTGTTGGCAATACTCACATTTCGTGAAGAGGCAGCCTCGCTGATTGGAGGATTACCAGCTGCCGCTGAAGACAGTTCAGAAAAGTCGTCCTCCAGGGCTCCTCCAGTCTCCACGAGCAGAGATTCGCTCATTTTGGAAGCCTCTGTTGCCTTTGCAGACGTCTTTGGAGAGGTACCACCAGCTTCTCCTACACCTCCTCCTCCTCCTCCATCTGTTGACGAAATCCAGGAGGACTCCATGAGCAGGGGAATGACTCCTGATTGGGGCCGATTCGAGGTCGCCTCAGTGGCAGCGTCTTCGCCATCCAGGAGGACGTCAGCCCTTGACGTGTCGTCGTCGTCATCGGCGAAATCTGTCGTGCCTACTTCGACTGAAAGAACAAACGTGACTGATGTTCCGGCGTGGAGTGGTGATGCGAACTTCCAGATCAACACGTGTACTCACAAGAACGCTGATTGGAATAAAAGTCAACCAACGTCGACGGTAGCCTAACAAGCGTGTGCATCAAAGTCACACGCTCGACCAATCATTGGTTAGAGTGATCGGGATGACTCACTTCAAACACAAGGCCTCCCTCAAACTAGCTAGTGTGCCGACAGGGTATTTTGTGGAAGCAAATTGGCGACTTAACGATGAACAGACGGTTGTTTTGCCTTCCTAGTCCACACGCACGCGATCAGATTTAGGATCTAAGCGTTCGACAAAGATTTGAGCCATCGATTTTCGATATGTGCCACGAGAATGGTGTGATGGAGCTTTAGGTGCGGATGAAGGCAACCATGGAATAGTGGTGCGCACCACCTTGCATTTCCGGACCAGTCATCGATTTTTTTTAAAAAAGAAAACGCCCAAGACGGAGAACAGTAAGCGAGAATGCGCGCTTACATTCGTATTCACATCCAGCGGAGAGAGCAACACGAGTACTCAGGAGGTCGATGGATGCGGCGTCTTTGTCGTGAAAGTCCCTGTAGGTTGTCTGTGGATATGTAAAAGGAATACGAGAAGATTAGAGTAATAAACAGCGAACCCTCATAAGTAAATACATCAACAGGAGCTGAATTCCCACAATCACGCAAAATGCAGTCGAAAATTCGTCTACTTCAAGAACTTTAGGCGTAAAATATGTGTGTATTCTCGGGTTCTCTAGCACACGCCTTTTTATTGGCTCAAACACTGCTGTGTTCTGATTGGCTACAGCTGTGCTCACGACCCCACAGGGACATAACGGAGATGCCCAAACTTCACAAATTCAAGCAGCAGATTTGGGAGACAGGCGTCTTCGCATTAGACGGAAGCGCTGCCTTGAAACACCAAAGTGACCCTTATCAGGTAACAGAAAAGAACCAAGCCCCTCCCCGTTGCTGACCTGGTTGACAGCCGAAACTGGCACCTCGGAAGCCCTTCTACCCGCGCTGCCGGTCAGAGGTGTGGTCGATGCCAAGGGCGGGTCGTAGACGGTGTGACGCGCGACTCCGTGCGTTATGGAAGGCGGTGTGTTTGGTCGGCGGTAATTAGGAAAGTTGGATCCGTTTCTAAAGCGGCAAAAAGTGCGTGAGATGTGTGCGACTACTGTAAAACAACACAAACAGGTCCGTTGAGTTGTCACTCACGACATGAACGACTCCGTGACCTCCCCAACCATGTACTGCTGCTGGCGGTGGCTGGTGGACGCTAGAGGGACCTGTTGAAGCCACGCCACACCCGCGTCCAGAGGTCCCGCTGGGACGCCATCATCATGCGAGGGAGGCATGTGCGACTCAGCGTCGACCTCGTCCTCGTCGTCGTCGTAGTACTCGTTGTCCGTGTACAGGGGGTTGCTATGGTGACGGGAGGAAAGCGGAGCCATCTGGAGGCTGCTGGAGTTGGAGGCAGAGGAGAGACTTGTCACGCCCTCACTGCGAGAGCCCTCCGCCCTTTCGCAGGCGCGTTCCACGGCAAGGAAGAGGTCGTCAGACGTGATGGAGGCCGTGGCGCCGCCAGCCTCCGCCGGAGAGTGATTGTTATTGGTCGAAAGCGCAGGTTCCACTTGAATCGGGGGAACAGGAGGAGGAGGAGGCACAGGGGAACGCTCGACAGACTACAAGGTAAAATCAGTGGATTTTGCTCACGCGATAATCCCATGGTTTAACTAGGCTGCCGAACGGTAGCTACTTATCGGGAAATTTAAGTACTACCCACCGTGGATTTGGTCGTCTGTCGCACGTGATTGGCGTAGCCGGAGAACGCGTCCAAGGTTTTCGATTGGTCCAGGTTGAAGGCGGCTGCAGGACGCGTGGGATCGTTTGTAATGCAGTGGGGCGGGGCTCTGGCGACGAAGTGCGAGGATTCGGGAGACAACGATCGATTCGGTCGGCCTGTTAGCATGCGTGTCGTCGGTTGGGCGTAACCATTGACGATTTCAACGGGGTTCATTACGAAGCAGGCTAAAAAATCGGCATTAACTGATTACCTGAGAGTAATTGATTTAGGAATCAATAAATTAATTGAGTGACACTTGATGAGACTGTCTCCAGTTGAGTCACAGGAAATTTGAAGTAAGCCAGTTGTGCAGATAGTCGTGTGCAGAAAACATGGCTACTGAAATATTAATAAGTAGCAAAATTAAATACCCCTATCAACATTGTCCCCAGAGGGCGATTCTTCGTTCGTCCAACCGACAGGTCCTCCCTTCAATGGCGGCAGCGGCACGTCACACGATATCGATTTGTGCGCCCACTGGCGGTTCGTCAGATCTGATTGGTGCGGCAGGAGTGGCGAAGAGAGCTTTCTATCTCGGCCAATGTGGGGACGAGTCTGGTACAAACGAAGGATACACACGAATGAGGGTTAGACATCAGTTTGCGCGTTTAATAGCAAATACCAAGGCAATCAGGGCATGACGAATGAAATGCGAACGCCGAAACTTGCTAATGGGGAGTGATTCTGGTAACGAGCAGGAGGAGCCTCGCCAATCGCGTAGTTTCGTTTATGAGGCGGCAACGGGGGAGGCTGAAGTCCACTGTAGGTGGTGCTGGCCGAGGAATTGCCTGGCGCCGATGGAGGCGAGCGCGGATGTGCGAATTCCGGGGAAGTAGAGACTAGTTTCTTAGACTGACAACGCAAAAAGACGTTGGCAGATAAAAAGAGAGATCTCGTACTGGGAATTAATTAGGTTCGATCATTCTAAGCCCCCACAGAATGTGGCGATTAAACATGCGTACTAACTAACTATCAGTAGGGTTTTAATTTACATACCCTTTTCCTGACCGAGGGGACAGTGTGTCTTGGGGGAGGCGACACGAACGACGAGGCCAATTGGGCAGTTTTCTGGGAGTCCGGACACCAAACAAACACACTCCCATCTGTGCCGACTGGCAGCATGCCAAGAAGAATGTCCGCAGCACTGGTGCCCATGCGAGAGACGAACTCGGACGAGGCGCAGACCACAGCAGGCAGGCTACGATCGTTGGTGGTGGTGGTGGAGCAACAAGAGGCAAGCTGCAGCGCGTAGTCGAGGATCTCGTGGAGGACGAGGAACCTCGGACCGTCTACGATGCCGGTGACGCTGGATCCACAGTGCAGGCCTGTTGCGCGCACCAATACGCACACAGATACACACACACAACGTTAGCACTATTTTGAATAAGCCTGTTGTGAATCGTGTTTATACACACCCCTTAATCCGGTCGCTCCACCTCCGACACAGGGCTCCCCTTTTCCCCCCTCATTCACACGAATATTTATCTTGGAGTATCCCCACACCTAGGTCTCGATGTTAGCGCATGTATGACTCACACATCTGAGGTATAAATACACACGCACAAACCTCACATACGACACAACGACACCAGCGTGGTTGCGCTCTGAAGTAGACGGTTGTGTCCACGTCTCCTTCATCACGGCTATCAGGGAAGAGTAATCGGGCCAGGGTTAATATCGTGGCCCCGGCGTGGTTCAAGACCACATGCTGGGGCTCACAACAAGCCCATCCACTCAGACACCTTGTGAAACCGCGTACCTGACAGGAGATGATTCTGGTAAAGAGGACCACAAAACATGCACACACACACACACACACACACACACACACCAAATGCGCTGACACATCAAAGCCAAGGTGCAACGATCGCGTTAATGGAGAGAACGTAACTTCTGGTACTGTGGGGTCGGAGATTAAGCAGGTTACTAGGGCAACCAGTTGTATGAGAATATCTACACTCCACAAACGCCCCATTGATGGTTACACAGGTTTGACCCACACGAAGACACAGCAAATTACCCACTCACTCATTCCAACCCAGGCATTCCATATTCACTTGAATCCTACGCAGAGAAATTAGCATAGTATTTGTGAATCCCGTCTATTTCTACGTGCTTCCTGTCTGAACGATGGACTATTGAGTGTGGGACAGTGCGTAATTATTCCGGCAATAAGACAAGTTCACGCGCTTTATGGAGGGCTTAGCGAAGGCTTACGTAGAGGCAGTGGGCGTGCAGGAACTCACCGATCTCGACTCGACAGGAGAGATTTTCGTCGGCTGACGTGTGCAGCAGGGTCTGGCGATTGAATTCGTCAAACAGTTGGATGAGGAATTGCGCAAAAAGGCCGAGCTGAGGCACGGAGTCGGTGGCGTCCTGAATGGCAAGTGGACAAGGCTAAGTACTTACACCACCACCACAACAAACGTCCTGAGTCCAGGCAAGTTAGGTGCCTCATAGCGCAGCTTGTAATCGCCACGAAGAACACCCGAAGAACGATATCACCCTGTCAAGTGGGTAACTTAGTGACCGGTCATAATAATTAGCGATTCGTCAATTGTTGGGGATCCATATCGATTTTGTGGGACCGATCAACGCAGTCTCGTACCTTGTGCTGGTGGACGCCTACTCAAAATGGCCGGAAATCGTCCCAATGACTTACCCCACAACAACGAGGCTCTGTCCCAGATTTCCAGCCGCCATGGGATTCCGGAAACCATGGTCGCAGACGACGGATCATAATTCACATCGCAGCAATTCAAGGAATTCTGTCAACAGCTTGTCATTACACGCATGCATTTCCCGCCCCACCACAGACAGGCTGAAAGGTTCGTCGACACAATGAAGCGAGCCCTGCTAAAATCCCGTGGGCGAGGAATGACGTCCAACGAAAATCTGCAGAATTTGCTGCTGGTGTATCGTACAACACCGAATGAGGCTCTGCCAAATCGGCAGTCGCCATTTGAGGCACTAATGGGTCATAAATAGCGGACAACAAATTCCGCAATGATTCCGGTACAAGGCAACCGCCCGGAGACTCCGAGTACGAAATCTACCACTCCGTCGGAGATTGGATCAGCCGTGTACACGACCAACGGAGCAAAGGGACGATCGCATGTCGACACAGAAAGGTCATGTTCGACGTGACAGTGGGTCACGACACGTTGTCAAGGCATCGTCACCAGCTCGGATGGGGATGCACTTTTCGACAATTTCCAGCTGCCGCCACCGATAGCAACGCTAGTGAAAACTAACAGAGATCAACTAGCAGCAGATGGGTCTTCACCTCCAAGGCAGAGTAGTCGGAAGCAACGGAAACCAACACTACTCCAAGTCGACCCCAAGAAGAAGCGTTACTAGCTTTTCAAGGGGGAGAGGTGTTGGAGATCCACGGTTCCCCAAGATTGCTCGTCGTTGATTTCTGGTGCTGTTTACACTAACTCACTAACATGTGTTTTGGTACGCTTTTTATCAAGTCAAGGTCAACCATGACTTGAATTAGTTTCACTTTCGACAGACCACGTCGCACGTGGCTGATGCGATCAAAGCTCTCTACACGAGCTCTGGTCTTGCTCTTGTATTAGCGTGGGAAGGTCGGTTCTAGCGTCATCAAGGGATCAGGTACCGTTACCTGAGTAGGTGCTTTCCTTCGTTATGGGCAAGAGTAATATTAATGGACGATAGTGAGACATCGACAATATCGGAGTTAGCTGGACCATCACACGAACACTTTAAAAGCTGCTTGAGTGTCCTGTCTGTCCGACTTTCTTCAAGTCCACCACTGCGACCTGAAATCCGTTTGACCCGACTTGAGGCCAGTCAAACACAGGCGCCAAGTCTTCAACCAGAAAGTCACAAATCTGAGCAAACGAAGGAGGCTGATGGCCTAACGAATGCAGCTGATCCTCGGTCAAACTTACACCATCGAAGAAGGCATACGCGACGGTGTTTCCAACGGAGTAGATCTTTGTGAGCGGAAGGCGTGTTGAAGCAGGAGGAAGCTTCTTGAGAGCGTTGTCGACGGTTTTGTCGCCGGTGGAGATTTCGCCGGCCGCGAGTCGATCGACCACACAGATGAGACGGTTGAGCTTGCGGACACAGTCGGCAACCACTGTGGCCTGACGGGAGCGATGACTCGCGGTCAGGGTGGATGACGTCATCGCCGAGGTGGAGCGTCTATCGTGGACGGAGGACGACACCGACATGGGAGTTGTCCGCGCTGTCGAACGCTGAAGGTCCAGCAGTTCGTCACCCTTACCTGTGGATGCAACAATTGCACTATTTAGTGGCACGTTTAGTCGAATAGCGTGACCGTCTAGTTTTACGATCTCAGAGGGGTTTTAGGTTAAAAATAATCCGGTAGAAGCAATCACTGCAGTGCTGAAATCGATCACGGAATTAGACCGGGTTGCCTAATCTAGTCAAATGGATCCACAAAGCGCAACAACAGTCGGTTAATGTTTCGCACGCTTTATAGCCGAGTCTACAGTCGCCGTGTTATTCTTTCCTTAAAATGTAAACCACCACATGGTAACAAATCACTCTTGTGGTGCAAAAACAAACGACTGCCACAGACAGTTTGCGCTGACTGCGTGTTTGGTAAAAACCACAGACGAGGGCGTTTCTGGTGGCAGTCGCAGAAGCTACCATTCGGGCTCACTTGTGCCATGAACTGATACAGCGATAACACCGGTCCGCGGGTGTTCCTGGGGGTGAAAGCACGAGCTACTCTGGTGGCTGCCGGAGCCAGATTGAGCGTCGAGGAGTTCAAGAAGGTGGCTGCGTGGAACGCAGTTCTCCAGAAGACGAGCCAACGCAAACCGGGACTTGGAAACCTCAGCCTTTCGCTCCAGCAACTAAAGGGATGGATAGAGATGAGTTGCGGAGTTGACAAGAACCAACCATCTACAAGCGGTGGCAACGTGTGGCTACCGGCTGAAGAGCCTGTAGTAAATTATGTTTATACACACTCCTTAATCCGGTCGCGCTCCAGCCTCCGACACAGGGTTCCCTTTTTCGTAGCATATCTTGGAGTATCCCCACACTTAGGTCTCGATGTTAGCGCATGTATGACTCACACATCTGAGGTATAAATACACACGCGCAAATCCCACACACGACACAACGACACCAACGTGGTTGAACTCTGAAGTAAATGGTTGTGTCCACGTCCTCTCCGGTCTTTTTCTTCATCGTGGGTATCAGGGAAGAGTAATCGGGCCAGGGTTAAGTCAATGGCCCCAGCGTGGTTCAGGACCAACAACTAGCCCTTCTACATTTCCACAGCCCCCTTGAAATTACCATGGTTGTGCGGGTAGGGCGAACTTGAAGGGGTTGCAAGACCCAGTCCCTCAAAGGAAACGCATGAGGCTCAGTTTGCGATCTCGACAGACGCGAATGCACATAGGGGAACTATGAGGAGTAACAAAGAGGATGGGAATACTGTGCGAAGTCAGCACATGAAGCTACTTCTGGCAAGAATAGAAGGCCTCTAGATCTGCTAAGGAATTTAGTGTACTCCCCGAAACTCTGTATATTTTACATAAGGTGGCAATTGATCCATGTACAATTTTCCGACCTGTTATGCACACGATTTCCAATCGACCGCGCTCTCATCCTATTGGCCCAACGTCGCTTCGAGTATCAAGGTCACGCAAGGCATACACAATTGGGCGCTTGCGCATTTTGCGACCGGAAGAGCAAAACGCTCTCGCCTCTGCACCCAGAAAGTGCGTGCACCTTGGTGTTTTGAATAATGCCATTCCAACATAAAAGTACAAGGATTGACGGGTGTTGGTGGTGGTGGTGGCGGTGAGAATTGCGTTTTGGATTTGAGGAAGAGTAAAGACGTGATCATCCGCAGTGCCCAGGAAAAGAAAAACCAAGCGGTCACCTAGCAGGGGGGGAACGGATGTAGCCACCAACAGACAGGACTCACCAGTTGAATCCACTTGATTGTCCACTCGCGAAGTCGGCCCGTTTGCCACGGCAGCAGGCAGACGAGGGCGATAAAGACGCCGTGGGCGAAGACGGCGTCGGGCAGAGTGCTTGCCCACAGTGCCAGGGAGCTACAAATAATAAAAAAAGGTGAAGAAGGATTAGGAGACACGCCAATCGCTGAGGAGGATGCACCTGCAAGACGACCTTGCGGGACCTCGGGAGTTTTTGAACACCAACACGGACACAGGGATTAGCAGTACTAACACACATCTGGGGTCCTTGCGTTTGTCGCTATAGGGTAGCGTAACCAATGGCTTTGGGAGTCTAAGCGATTGTTTCATCATTAACCCCCACTTGGTGTCATAGCAGGCGGGTTCGGTAAGTTCTGTGAAGCACGTTACGTAAGTCTGTGCTCCACACATTACTTACGATCCACCCTTCAGAAAATCCTTTTAGAAGAAAAGGTCCGTCCATTCATTTCGTTAAGGGATTCGTGTTGATTCAGGTCCAATGACCCAGTCCTCGAGCTTCCGGCAGACGTCCCCTCTATTCACGACCTCACCGTCAGTCACGTGAGGCCACGTCACATTAACCACTCTGCATGTCCCACCACATCCACCCGTTTTAGTCATGTGACCTCACAGACACCTGTGTTTATTTTTGTACATGTCCACTCAACCGTAAGTGTGCACGGCACAAATTGGTTGACCTGTCTAGTAAACGGTTGTGCCTTCTCCACTCCGGTCTTCTTTATTTTCACGGGAACACAGGGTAACGTATTCGGCCTAGATTGTCGCAGTGGCCCCGGCGTGGTTAAAGACAACATGCCGGGAGAGGAGAGGTGAGTTGATGGCCCTACCACGACCTCAGGACAAAGTGGCAGCCAAGAGTAGCCACGAGTACCTTGAGAAATTAGTGTCCGCATTAAAAAAAAGCGATTTAGCAGTAGGCTGAGGCCTCACCCGGGGTTAGTTGAGGAATAGGGGAGTTTGGCGAAGCGGGAGATCGCGGAGGTTAAGTGAAGGGCGGCAAACAAGGCGGTCACGATCGCGGTGCTGACTAGCGGGGTGACCGAGGACGTGCCAAGGGAGACCGGCAGGGCTAGAAGGAGGGCGAGGCAGGCGAGGAGGCTGGCGGTCTCGAGGTTTGGGGGGCGAACCCATATCGACCCGAAGTCCAGCAGCAGAGCCGGTGTCTTTGTGGAGAGGGACTCCGTTGTTATGGGACTATCAAAACGACCGAATATCTACAAAAAGATGACTGATGATACGCCTAGTGTGTGGCACATAGCAGAATGACAGTGAAGGTCAAGGTAGTTCATGGTATCTCACGGTAAGGGGTTTGTACCAAGGCATTTTACACACTACGTGTTTCCTATCAGAGCTTGAAAAACGCAGGACTGAGGATAAGAACGAGGAGATATCAGAATTTCAACCAAAACAAAAATTCAAGCCGAAAGTACTGTGTTGGGGAGAAGGCGGTGAAGCCGTTTTTGAGAAAAAACCCACACATTCCTTCCAACAAAATCAATAAAGGCCGATACAAAAGGCAAGCGGATCGGACGGCAATGTATTCAAGTGATGGGGCCTTATAGGCGAGGATAAATAAGGAACAAATTAGACCGATGTCCAGGTTAGTTCGCAATCTCGATGTGGACGATTTCGGATTACGTTGCGTCGTGGCAGTGCTAGGTGAACTGATGTACCAACGGGCCAGACATACAGCCCCTCGGTCGACTGGCTATCAGTAAAACAGTGAAGAAGTCAATTTATGGATGGCGAACTAGAGGCACTGGCTTTTTCGCGAAAATCTGGCTTGCCACATGCGCTTAGTACCTAAAAGCTTTTAACCACTTCAGATAAACGCGCTCAGATAGGGAAGCGCTTCTCCACCAAGTACAGAACAATTGTTCAATCTGTTATCGGAGAGAGAGAGTTATACCAAAACTTTCAAAATGGCCAAGCAATTACGCGACCCACGGGGTGTACATACTCAAGTAGAGGACAACTGAATCGATTTTGGGGAAGATACTTCAGAAGACAGCTTCTCACGCAGCCCTCCCCCACAACGTACACTTTGTAAAAAACCAGTAAATTGGAACCGGAAAAGGGGCACCTAGGGCGTGAAATCAAACAACAACAAAGTTAGATTCATTGGTGACCCCCTCACCCCAGCGACAGCCGCAAAGCATCGGGGAAAAACACACGAAAAGTGTGACAGAGGGCGGGGGGGGAGAAGAACACCAAGTCGTTTTGCCCGACGATTGGTTGTCACAAGAACCGCCAAATTAATCACACTTTCTAACGAATTCCCTTCAAAAAGAAAACACTTGTGAGGGCTTTAAACCCGCTCACAAAGTAGACAGATATCGCAGGAAATTGTTGCCTTTTGAGCTCACGCACTAGCGGCACACGGATTTCGCACTCTAGTCGAGTTTTTTTTGAAGAATCTAGACACTAGGAGATTGCTTTTGGACACGCACAGAGACGGACGCCGGTGCTACCTTCAGACAAAGTCCATAATCGCCGACACTGCGGACAGACTGTGCGTGAGCCACACCGAGACGGAAACAGTTTCATGTAACTTGGCCGTGTCACTGCGGTGGTAAATTGTCAAACACAAATCAAGCGCAGTCTCTAACCCCAGTGACTAAACCGCGTGTCAAAGGTGGAGTTTAAGGTTACGTTTGTACGATAAATCCCGGCCGTGACAAACTCCTGCGCCTCGGTAACAACACGCAGGCCTCTGAAAATCAGCTAATCTGCTTCGAGACGCCGAGGACACGACACCCCGGAACAGTCAGGCTGCCAGTGTGCACGGAAGTGGTTTTTTATTGGACAAAATCTACTATGCAGGTGTAGTTCAACCCGAAAGCGATTACTTTCGGCGTGCTTGGATCGTCGCCGGTAAAAAAAAACTACAGCCATTAATAATCCCCCGAGGAGGAACGCGGACATGGCCGAGGATTGGCACTTTTCAAGCAACTAACAATGTCACCTTGTTTGTTTTTGTAGACTTGGAGAGCGCAAAACAGATATTTAAATCGGGTTTGCGCCATTGCCGCAGTGACGCTTTACCTGAACCCGAGAATACAGTGGATTGAATGGCCAACAGTAAATTTCTCACAGGATGCGTGCCGAGTTAAGGCAAATAACAATGACAATGTTGTTGGCGCGTTTCCTCAGACCTTCCCACAGCCATGTTCCTGACGGTCATTTCCTAATGCTTTGTTGTGGGCCCCAGCATGTGGTCTTGAACCACGCCGGGACCACGGAATTAACCCTGGCCCGATTACGCTTCCCTGATACCCGCGATGAAGAAAAAGACCGGAGAGGACGTGGACACAACCGTTGGTATCGTTGTGTCGTGGGCGGCATTCGCGCGCGTGTGCGTATTTATACCTAAGATGCGTGAGTCACAGATGTACTAACATCGAGACCTAGGTGTGAGGATGCTCCAAGATAAATATCCGTGTGAATGAGGGGCGAGTTGAGGATCCGCGCGGCTGGCGACATGCTGCGAAAAGGGGAACCCTGTGTCGGAGGTGGACCGACCGGATTAAGGGGTGTGGGTAAAATCGACTCACAACAGTTTCTTCGCAAGTGCCATAAACGTATTTGGACGCTGTCGACAACCTCGGATAATTCCGTGATCGACACGCCTTCCACGGAACCAGCGATTACTTTTTGGTCCCAGGTCCAAAACATGCGTAAAGAATGTTGCACGATGATATTTGGCCAAAAATACGAACCATAAACTCGCCAGAAACTCTTTAGTACGTCGAGCTCGGAGTAGGGGACGGACCCACCAAATCACCAGTGAGTTGTGCATTATAAACACGAAAAAACATGCAGACTAAATGTGTCTGTTGGCAAGTCAGCTTACGCATTTCTGCGGTTTCCCTTCAATGGCCAAAACATAATGCAGGAATGTCAAAACAACGGAAGTGGGAAGGCTAAGGCGCCAGCCCATGAGTCATCGTGGCTGTACACATTTAAGAAATGCGGCAGGGAGTAAACATTTGAGGTGAAGCGATGGTCACACACATCGAAACGGCCATTTGAAGACTAAGGAAGGAAACAAAAAAAGATTTTCCAAGTAACGCCCATGATTCACGTGGACAAGTAGCATTTCTACTTGTAGTGCCTCAAGGGGCGAGAACGAAGAGAAGCGTGGTGGTGAAGTGATTCAAGCTTGAAGCTGCACGAGGGTTATAATGCAAGAAGAGGGCTGGTAACTGGAAATAATGAAGTACATGAACACGGCATTGTGGATAAGTGTTTGCGCGCATACACACACACACACACACACACACACACACGCATACACGACTATGAGTCAGCGCGCAGTTCGCCCGCTTCACGTGTCCCTCCTTCCAGCACTCAGTCCGTGTATCTGCCGATAAAAACGCTACAAGAGGCAAACTTCCGTCGAAACGTGAGGGTGCTGGAGTGGAAGAAGAGGAGGCCAGGCTCGTGGGTACCACCAGACCCGCTTCATGCCCAACTAGGAAGCGACCGCCAGCATCCGGACACTTTCGGTGTGTGTGTGTGTGTGTGTGTGATTAATTCTCCTGCCTCCCGCTAATTGGTTAAATTCACAGTGACTTTCGTCAATCGAGTATTTAAATCACAACAACGATTAGCGGACACTTCAAGGTGAGACAAATCGGAGATTATTATTGATAGAAAGTGAAGAGGTAGGAGCCGGAGAGACGGAGCGTAATTCGGACATGAAAAAGGCTAGGGACACGTCATGGCGCGCCTGCTGTGCGGCGGACTTGCTCTCACCCCCTACGACAGGGGAAGGGAGGAAGGAAGAGGTGACTCATGCGTGTCTCCATTCCTTACCCCACCCCTCTCCCACAGGCTGCGTTCTGCGTTCGACGAATGCGCTGGAAACTGCTAGACTAGACTGCACGCCGGGCAAAGGGTGTTGGGGCGATCGGCGCTCAGACGAGGGTCTGTGGCTGGTGCACCGACCGCGAGTGCAGTGAGATAACTTGTCGGGTGGGTTTCGGTAAATTAAACGACGCCACCCGCATCACGCACGTGTGGGCTAGGTGAATGGGGGGTGCGGGTGGACTAGGTCTGCTTTTGCAGACGTCTGGCGGCACAGAGCAAGTCTGTGCGACAAAGAACTGTTGATTCTTGTCTGAGAGGGGGATAGGGGTGCAGGCGACAAGAGTAATCGGCTCGACTAATTCAATTATGAAGCAAGACTAGGAATCGACGGGAAATCGCGCGCAAGTTGGCTTGCAGGTTTAATTGAGATCGACCAAACCGAGGATAAGTTATGACGACTTAATAATGAACCAAATCAGAAATCATGCATTATGTTTAAGGCTATAATTCAGTAGTAATGACCTGCTCAAGTAAGTCGCGGCTCAGAATAGCCTGATGGAATTAGGCATACTTTTGCCTTCCCACAGGCGAACGACCGATATATCCCGCCCTAGTTGGTAATAATTACCGTAGCAAATACAGGCACTGTCACCAGCGTACATGTGAACGTCAAATCACACCACCAGGTGGCATTCAGTCAACATGGGGCCGTAGAAGCCGTGTTGAATTGCGTGAACGGGGATACCTCTAGCCAGTAACGGCTGTGGTGGTGGTGGTGGTGGTGATAAGAAGACGACCAGTACATGTTAATGTCAAATGACAACACTAAGCGGCATTCAGTCCACACAGGACATAGACTTGAGTCAAAATGCACACGAGTGTGAGGCAAGACTTACCAAAAGGAACAGGAAAGACGCTAGGAGCAGGAACAGAGTGAAGACTACACACGCCTGACGCAGGGTCACTGGAAGACACACTGAAGTCTAAAACAAATCAATAAGGAATCAACGTCAAGCGTCGGATAGACGTAAAAGGGTGTGGTGGTTAGGCAACATAACGTGTTTAGATAATGCGGCCGTCAGCACACTAAGCTACTACTATGCGACGACGATAAGGGGTTTTGGCGAGTGTCAGTAAAACGAAGACTGCCAGACTCGATCCTGATTCTAGACAGGGATCACTGCGCCACAAGTAAGAGCGCCCGCGGGAGCCGAGTTAAACGCCGACATCAACTGGCGTTACTTACAGCGATTAGATTAGTTGTAGGACAGCAAAACAACAAGCCCAACTGTTTGGTACATTCAGTCGTGTTTGCACTAGATGTCATGCGTGGACAGGTGAGTCATCCTTTGCCTTTATCAGACAGGGAGACATGCCGACTGAAATGTATGTTTAAAACAGGTGGTTTAAAACACAACATTTAACAAAAACGATAGGACTTCCAAGCTATTTCGGTGATTCTTGTGCTGCCGTAGAGTCAGGGACGCGAACACACGCACACACACACACACACACACACAAGGCACTTTGTTAACTGATATGACCTGGTTTGATAAACATTCACACGCGGGAGGACAGGAAAAATGCGTGCGAAGCAAGACGTGAAACCCTACACCGGGGTGCGAGACAGCGAGGAAATTTTATGCAAACGGAACAGACAGGCATGCGATAATCCACTGCTCCAACGTTTGGGCAAAATTTAACTGGCTAGCGATTGATGGAGTTCTTGGCGCGAGGCTGCAAATTGTTCGGCAAAGAGGAAATCAAGGCGAGGAAAAACGTGGGGAACAAGACTCGACAAATCCCGTAGCAGTTCCTGATTGTACAGATGTTTCGGACACCGCAGAACGTTTAAACACGAACCCGGACACTTGACGCGAAAAGTCAATTACCCTAGCAATAGTACACACACGTCCGGAGGGGTAATAGAAGGAAATAAACTGAGAATTCCAACAGCGATCAGAGTTGGTTCCATGAAAACCAACTTAGCACACTGCTTGGACTGCACGAGTTTGGGGCATAATATTGGATTTCTGGAAAAAGGAACTGAGATGGGAAGTAAGACCGACCTTTGCTTGACGATAGTGCTTTAAGAGATGATCAAGAAACACTGAAAACTGATTTAAATGGCGAAGATGCAAACGCGTGAAAGTGGCCACAAAACGAGTGTGGTTGAAATGGCATTTGCGTGGCTATGAGTTGGCCAAAATGCTTTGTTTCTTTGGCGTGGCGAAGGAAATGGGTGTGCGGAAGGCTACACAACAAGTGCGCAGGGAAAAAGGCCAAAACGCCAGACCACTACGCACCGACCTAATCAAATGCCTCGGCTTTCATTACGTCGGATGACTAAGCATCGCTGGCGAATTCACCAGCGCGTGATGACTTAGCGCTGCACCACACGTACACATGATAATCCACTGTTATTCATCTGCCGCTAATTGTATAACCGTTTTCGGGAGTAAGTCCACGGTGTCTATACAAGATGACCCAGATTTCGAGGCTCAGCTGCTGTGGGATTCACGAACATGCTGATGAGACTTCCGAAGGCAGAGGTAAGGCAGGCGTGGGATATATAGAGGTCTTTTGCTTATTATTTAAATTGGAGGTTGATTAATCCCTATCACAAGCATCAGCAGACCACCTTGTTCAGCAATTTGATGCAGATGAAATCAAGGAAGGGTCGGTGGAAGACACCAGTGCAACAGGAAACAATTGACATCGACGACACGAAAACAAACCGTTTAATGGAACCAAAAAGTGAACAAGCGAACGCCATTTGGAACTTCAGCAGACGTAAACAGGGGTTTGGAAATCCCATGTCAGCAAAACTGCACAGCACCCTCGAATTACATTCGGGTTTCTCATGACTATTAAGCTGGGGGTTTAAGGCAGCGGAGCGTAGAACCGCACATTTCGTGTAACGGTGAATTTAATTAACGGCACAAAAGAACAGCGGATTCCTAATAAACCGCGAGAACAGCAAATGCTTGACCTTGACAGTGATATATTAGAAATAGCCTTACCCAAAATGAATCATGCAATGCACTGATACACTCGGGCAGATGTTGACTTCATGCAAATAATGTAATGTCGAGGATTCGCTAAATATCCGTGGTCAAAGTACGTCCTGGAAACCTTTGTTAGATACTTTTTCGGATGAGATGATAACATGAGTCAAACGAGGACCAATGACCGCGAACACAAAGAAAGTGAGGTTTAACATAACTTTTTCAATCAAATGTCGGAGAAATCACGAGAAAAATGGCAGTTTGGAAAGAAAGCGGCAGTTTTAAGCGAAAAAAAAGGAGCTTACATCAAGTCGACGGATTGACAGGACTCCCAGTAGCAGTAGACACCAAATCACGATACAGGGGTAGATCACCAGGGCGAGAGAGATTCTGGCGAAGCAATAAAGACAGTTTTAACAGGAGCAGATAAAGTGCTGGACCGTGGAATAGACCTAGAGGTGGATTGAGGAATCTCAAATGAGGTTGAAGGCTGTCGTAACACAACCCCGGCGAGTTACCTGACAGAGTCACGTGATTCGGGTCTAGGGTAAGGCCGAATGCGCGGAGGAACGAAGCACATTGCCATAAGGAACTCGCTTAATGTCAATTCCAATTGCGGAAGCAATGTCAAGCGTGAATTGGTACCTGGCAGCCGCAATATCAAGGTTAATACACGCGCTTCATGCGCAACATTACAACCATACAAAGTGTTCGTTTAGCAAAAAAGAAGCAAAATATGCACAAAGACGAGAAGCGATGTTAGGGCAAACTGTACTACCAAACTATGTAAGCCCTACGATGATTGACTTGTCACACTAAAAACACAAAATGTTACCATGGCATCAGACAACAGGAAGCCAAAAGACTAAGAACAGAGTCGAAATTAGTCTGATAGAAATACAACAAATGGAACTACGACAAAAATTTTATGCATCCGAGGTGAACACAAAGCGCCTGGCCTACGCATTATTGGAGTACATGATTTCTGCGTTCGGACATCAAACCCCTGATGCTCAGGATTCGAAGACAGGCCGTTGACACAGCGACATTTCAAAGGTCGCAAGACATTAATAGCGAGATGGTGCTCACCTAGACACGAGGAGACCACCAGCCAATCCGATGAGCACCAGGAGACAGACCGTCCAAACAGCCGCCCTTTGCACTGACACCAGTTGAGCGCGTCGAAGGAAAAGCGACGACCACAGAAGCGAATCTGCCAGCGGGCACATTACATCGTAGTTGGTGTAGATGGGACAACCCACACAGGAAGTCGACGCGGTCGGGTCCAGGGTTGCCGAGGAGTGCACCAGACGCTCACAACTGTCGGTGATGAGGCAGTGTGGACAGTCCGCGGCCTCCAGCGAGGGATGAGGCGGAGGAGGGGGGCAGAAGGTGGGCCAAGAGAAGTCGGCGGGGTGGGTCTTGATGGTGTGACAAAGCCCAACAAGGAGGTGCAGAGGCTCCGTGAAAGATGGCGGCAAAAGGGCTCTCTCGAGGCGCGAGATCATCGTGTCGGGGACGTCCCACGAAGATCGTGAGCTAAGCAAAGACAGACAAGGGAAAAGCGTACTGGCAAATAGTGAAAAACAAAACCATCAGGAACAAAAAAATGCAAACAACGGCAACAAAGATGCTCACTACGGAGGGGCAGTTCCGTGGTTGCATTGTCCGGTCAAGCAGGCATCAACTTGGTCGCCGCCATACTCGTCGCCTGCGTCCTTGCGATGATCCGTGGTCTTGAGCTGTCGAATCACGGACTCGCGAAGCGCGGATATCAGGACTTCCTTGTCACCGTTGGGGCTAAAGATGGCATCCAGAGGACCGGCCTCGGAGTTGGTGGTGTGTCCGTCGCCGCGGTTGGCAGAGGCTCGAGCAAGGCGCGCAAAACAGGGCGCAAGACTTCCCGTGGAAATCGACTCTCCAAGAGTCGGCCACCGAGAGTCGCCGCGGTCTGCAGATGCCTGCTCCTAGAGGTACACGCGGATATTTATAAGAAGGCAGCTGAGAAAGTAGTCGGTTTGAACTACGTAGACTCCTGAATGGGCCATCACGTGAACTGACAAAATTGGCGCAAGCAAACGTTATTTATGTGTGGGTTGAGCTTAGAATTATTGTAGGAATGGAATTGTGGTATTGTAAGGACCTGACGCAAGGTCTCAGTACACCGAACGACAGCACATTCGATGGCACTGCCTTCGACACGGATTCCAACAAGGAAAAATACTTCTAAAGTACGGGAATGAATTTATAGTGTTCTTGGTGCCAAAATTGTGTCTTACAAAATGTGTAATTATTGATATAAACGTTTTAGAAGTGATAATTTCGATCTCTGTGACCAGCCACGCCCCGAATGGAAGCCTCAAAAGTTGGAAGATGCGGGATTGGAAGCTCTCTCCCAGCAAGAGCATCCAGCTTAGTTGAAAGTCACCCAAACAACAATTTCCAAGCGTTTGCACCGAATGGAAAAAATTCAATAACGTGGAAGTTGGGTTCCACATGTGTTGACCGAACACAAACTGAATCAACGAATGAACACATGCGTTGCACTGCTTGTGGAAATCCCAAACGTAAACAGTCGTGGGTGGATATCGGACGACCACTACGCCGACGCCGTGACAGGACATTCACTTGAAAAATGTTCGCCTGTGGGACATAAAGGGTGTGCCTTATGACGAACTCCTGGAAACTGGTCAGAAGGTGGTAACTGCAGGAAAGTGCACCCGACAATTGACAAACTGATCGAAGGACCTGATCGGGAAAGGCCGTCTACTGGGCAAGGAAGCAGGCACGTCACACTGCTGCTGCATGACAACGCTCGACGTCACTCAGAAGGTCCGCTTGAACAAAGGATATTCACCAGACTCGGCCCCATCCGACTACCATTTGTTCCAGCCAATGCAGCATGCCTTAGTGGATCAACAGTTCAAAACGCTGAATTCGTCGACGATGACACTGCCTCCTCGAAGCCTGCAAGTCTCTACCGCGACGGTATTCGTATGTTACCTGAGAGGTGGCGCAAGGTCACAGAAGAAGATGGACAATATCTCCAAGATTAAGTTCGTTGTTCTCCGTTTTTTGTATTAAAAAAAATTTGCTGGAAAATCTGCAAGTTAGTGAGGGGTCAGGAGCAAGTGAAGCCCTCCTGAATGGTATTCAACATGTGGACTATGCCACGCCGGGAACAAAGGAATCGCCATGAGCACACGAAATGAGTGGATTCTACTCAGCTACCAATGGAAGGACGATACTAGTTTAAGGAACTAATCATCAAGAACCAGGAAGCACTGACTTTACAAAGATGGAGATACAAAAAAATCATATCAGAAGATTTCCTTAATGGCTTTATCGGATGGGATTAGTTCATCTACGCAGCCAGGGGAAAGATTTACGAAAAATCCACGAATCACACAGCACATAAAGATACATTCAACTTCGATGGGATTCAGAATACCCCTTTTTTTCGGAAACCGCAATCAGTCGTTTATGATCAAGCATAATTTGAATGCGTGTCATACAATTATTGTATATGTGATGGGTCGTCGAATACGAATGGAATTTCAGATATTTGTAAAGTGGTATTTTACACAGTTGATTTAAAGATAACAAACAAACAAACGCACCAACGTATCGTCAGGACTCTTGCATAGCTGAACAAAGAAAGTCTCCAAGTGGACCTGTCTACCGTTGCCCGAGACTGTGGGTCCGATTTCACCCTCATAGCCCTCCGGTAGCTGATCGAAGGTCGCTCGTGACACGAGAACACGACTGAAGGGAAATGCAAGTTGCGGAGGCAAAGGCAAGTGGAAGGGCCCTTGCAGGACACAAAAATGACCAATTACTCACCCCGACTGCGCCGCACCTCGAAGATGGCGCCTCAGATGGACCAGGTCGGGCCCTAGAAGGTCAAAGGTCAACATCGACTGGCCCAAGACCGCCGCGTAGGCCTCGCCTGTGTGGATCGCGATGCGAGCCTCTAGGCGCACCCGCGCCGAACTGGAGATCGAGCTAAACACACAAAACAACTCGCAGCAATTACCTCTGTTTTTAGTGACCATACCACTCGGGCCGGTTATTGGAAGACACGCGCAGGTATCTACATCTACCCGCGGTTTCGATGAGTGAAATAATGATGCGTACGTCAGTCATTAACTGCTTTATGGAAGGCACCAATATTTAAAAAAATATATCAACAGTAGTGTACAAGGTTGTAAATATTGTATCCGTGTGACACCCAAGCTTGGATAGCGTACGCCTGAATTCGGAGAAAAGAAGACAACCGATGAGGACATGCTCGGGAGCTTTCAACTGGTTTCGGAACATTGATTACAAAAAGAGGACTAAAATACTTAGGACTGCAGTGGATCGTGATGATTCACGTCCATCAATTCTGTCGGCGTTTGTCCAGACACCTCGGTAATTCCCCTTTGGAGTAATCCGCGTGTCTGTTCGGCCCTCCTTGCCCACGCATCCACGTCTGACTGTAATATAAGCACACACAACATTGCATGCACATCTGATAAGGGGTTGTGCCTTCGTCGTTACTGGGCCGTTATGGTTTCACGATGCACACAAGAGACTCCACAAGTAACGGCTCCGTCTGTTATACCTTTCGAACCTTCTACGATTCCCAGGAACGACTGAGAATCTGAGAACATCCCATGTTCTGGGCGCCAATGGACAAGTCAGCCCTTAAACTGTCCCAGAGTCACTTCCCATTCACTACGCTAATCTCCAAGCTATGAGGAAAGAATAACACACACATGTGGACTAGTTAGGTGGACGGTTGAGTCTCCCTCTGCCTCCGTACCTTCTCGTTATTCCTCTATCGTGATCACGACAAATAAAGCAACAATGACGTTCCGGGGCCACAGAATGAGAAGGTGCAACGGTCAAAGGAAGGGAAGGAGAGGAGTGAAAATAGAAGAGGTGGCACCAAGGCGCCCCCAATGCAACACCGGCAAAACTTCGAATTATTTAAATAAGTCCACCCTTTCAGTCGACATTGACTTATTTACTGATGACATTTCTGAGCATTACGTCCGTCGAATGACCAACCCAACACAATCACACCGGGGGAGAATCTTGTTAATTGGTTCTGCACCTCAGAATTCGCAATGGTCAGAACTGTTCATGGGATAATTAAGTTAAGACGGTCCTGCTGTGTACGTACACGAAAAACGACGAAGTGGCGCACGTTTACATTTCAAATCAGCTTTCGCTGCCTCACTACAAGGTGGTAGTTAGGGCGGTAACTTGCACAAGCGCGCTTACATACATGGTTTTCATGAGATAGAGTCATCAGTTAGAAGTACTGGTCACACTATCACCTCTGCAAATCGACTTGGACGTGTTGGAAGTCAAAGAAGGCATGCGAATGAAGTTGGAACGGTTTGGATAGCCATCGAGGGCTCTGCCACTACAGTGTTACCACAGAACTACAAGTTATCAGCATTAATAGCGGCACTGAAGTAGCAATGCACGCGCGTCTATGGACAAACTCAAGCTGAGTGTTTCATCTAGACGAGGTCCAAAAATGAAATCGAATGGAGTTGCTTTTCCACGACAGTAGCCTACACCAGCTAGAACCTCATAAAAAACAACACTGCATCCTACCAACACACACGAACAAAACAGAGCTTCTTGCTACGTCATTGACCGTAAACCAGTCGGTGCTCGCAATTGGTCCCCTACTAGTCCCTACCTGATGTTAAAGAACGAGTCACATTAAACTCACATCAACTCCTAAAATGACGACATTATATTTGCCTGGGGTTACAGAAAGGCCGAAACGCGGATTCGGTGTACGCACCAATTTTTTGATTACCCTGGCCGGAGATGGTCATTGACCATCAAACTGGCACAAGTGAGGCAACGATAAATTGAGTCCGCAGCGAGCAGCAAAGGTCTATAGGACAAGCACTACGTAAATTAAAGAGAATCAGCTGGCTGGGAGAAGAGCTTTGGAGTAGCTGATCGTATCAACGTCTGGTGCTTGACAATACTCAGTGTTTAAATATAACCGCGGTGCGTAAACAAGGGCATAAAGCAGACGCTGAGCGGCTGTCGCTGTTCCCAGCCATGAACATCTAACTGACTAAAGCCTTGTCCGGCGCGAAAAAGCACATGGCAATTGAACTAACAACAGACTTATGGAGACAAGAAAGAAAAGAACTGCAGCTAGTGGTAGTTCAGGTGATAGAGGCTGCTAGCTGTCATCGAATTCGCACGGTTCCCTGACTCTACGGTAGCCTTGGCCGTGTACGGAAGGTCTTCGATCAAGTTGGATGTCAACAAGTGAATTAAATGGTCAAATTTAGGAAACGAATGAAGGGCTTTGAGGAGCCAAGGCGATTCTCCGACACGTCGGAATCTGAAGCAAAGGAGTCTCCCTTAGAAAAATTGGTCGTCGGATGGCAAAAATGAGGTAGGCGGTGTCATCAGACCTGTCCAACTGGTCATCAGATGTCGGAGATTTGCCGTGTCGAACGTAGGAGCAATTTACCAATAAGGCAACCTAGTGGCTGGTGAAGATGCAGTTTTGTGCCAAGGAATGACAACACAATTGCTCGACTCAACACACAACTACTTTGACTAGCGCTATCACTTGTTCACCTAATTTATACAAGAATTGTTTGAGGTAATCAGACTGCAGTTTCAAATGCCTGAAAACTAGTAAGATTGCGTAACCGATAAGCACAACTGAGACTAAACAGAAATAAAAACACAACATTAAGTGCCGAAAGGTGTGCGTGGAGGTCTAGACTAGTGCACCACTCGTGCCACCACTACAAGGCCTACAGTCCGTCACGTAGAACGCACGGAGGACCAATCCTAATATTCACAGGAGAAAAAAACGACGCCGGTCCCTTAGTTACTGGTCAACAATGTGGCATTCAGTTTACAGGGAAAAAAAAAGACTTAAAAGAATACCATCACGACCAACGTTGTGGAGTGTTTGGATCACACAAGGCTTGAAATAAACCTGAACAGAACTGGGTGCGTCTAATAAAAAGAGGATAAAATATCCTAGCCTATTGATAGATGTGCTTGGTGTGCGTTGTCTTGGCGCCCAAGTCTACATCATCAGACGCACGAGAATCCCCCACCAGGAGAAATTTTGGAAGGTTCCCTTGGAGGCACACATTTGTGTATGGTGAAGATGTGAAATCGATGTCCAATTTCCTAATTATTCATGGCTAAGATAAATGTTCAGGGATGTGGCAGACGTTGGCGCATACAAAATTAGCCGGCATCAAGCAGTAATGATGGCGGACGAACACCAGTCTCCCTAGTCAGGAAATCACGGAGGAACCGCTACAAACAGACAAACACATTGTCGGTATTCCAATCGTTAGTCACCACAACGACGTCTCAACTCACAGCGTCAGCAAGCGCAAGCACACGTGGTAGTTGGGACTTTTACAATATGATTGCACGACGAGGATTCGAACTCTGGACCTTGGTGAGGCCACACAGGCTACAAAACAGGGAGGGAGGAGAAAGCACAGACTACGAGGCGACGAAAGCACAAAAGTGGATGCTGTCAACACTAAATTCAGTTTTTATTTACATCTATTTAACGCACAAATTAAACCCGAGCACCTGTATGCTGGTACTGCTAACCCTCTGGACCACAAAAATGAAACCCAATTTGCTGTCCCCATGATTCTCTACCAATCTCCCGTACAAATCCACACGCTGGGCCGTTTTGTCTGCTACAAAACGCCAATTCCTAAATTCGAACGAGGCAAGTTGGAGTGAGGGCGCTGTGCTCGTTCCTCTAATCGAAGATGCAGCAATGAGGGCATTTTTTAGACGAGGATAAGATTCAACAAACAAATGGTTGAGGTGACGTTCGTTAGTTGCAAGATGCGAAATTGGCGATTTGCGAATAGTTTTGGATGATTTCAGTGGTTTACACGCTGTTGAAAGTAGACAGAACTCCAATTTCGTTTCTCACAAGCCCTGGTTTGAAAAATTGGCAGAACGAAACATCAACGTTCAGTAGCGCGGTTTGGAATGCACGCAGACCGCTCCATAAGGAGTGGCTTGGACACGAGAGATCGATAAAGGAGGCCTTTGTGCATGGGTTTCATTTTAAATTAATTAAACGAAATCACAATTTTATGACCGAATAGGAAGAAAATTTGACCCCAACGGACGGTGAGGACTCCAACACATTCAAAGCAGTCGGTGAGCAGATGGGAGGTCACAAAAGAGGGATTCTTATCGATCAGTCGAAGGAAGAACACAAGAAAGGTCTCAGGGGGTTCAGGCGACAAGGCGCCTGGTTTAACGGAGCCTGAACGGCAGAGACCACACCAAACAGCAGATGCGGCCGGTCAGAGACGTTGACCAATCAGAGCCTCGGAAGGATAATGCGTGACAGTGAGGAATCGACACGTCTCGAGTTGTATAAAAACGAACATTTAAGCCACTCTCGTAAACACTCAGACAATAAAATCGCTTTTTGACGTATTCCTCGTGTAGGGCTTCAAGCAGTTGACCTGACACGCTTGTGAGAGGGGGGACAGCCCAACGGTAAAGTGTGTCTCTGTAGTGGGTGACAAGGCACCAACGCACACATAAGTTAAACAGTCATGGGAGAACGTTTTACATAAACAATCGACTGGGGATGGTGCAGTTTCGCGTAAAACTGAAGGAATAGCGCGTTTTTGCATCCAATTTACCGCATGGGAAATGAATCATGAAACGAATTTTTGAAAAAAAAACTTGCATAAAGCAGACGCATGTGGTTAGGTAAGGCCGTGAGCACTAAGACAGATCACGTGCTGATTAGGCTAACATAAACAATGGTCTGTGGTCATAATGGCCGGACTTCATGAAGTGGGAACCCAAGACAAGGAACACAGCAACCAGACAAGACTGCGGTGCAGTAAGAGAGTAGCGTACATTTCTCCAACTAGTTTGCGTTAGCTGATTAAAGTTGGCACAAGGAGTGTGTCTAGTGTGTTGAATTTGTCGCTGAGAAGTCATTAGCCATCACATCGTTTCAGGAAAGTTTTAGCCAGGGATTTGATCGATCCAGAGACAATCTGCTGTAGCGGATCAAGTCGCATTCGGAATAAGGTTCAAAACCAGAACCCAAACAGCGTCATTTAGACGAGAGGAGGACGTGAATGTGAAAAGGGAAGACGAAGGAGCGGGGCGGTTGGCTTCTTGCAAACATCTCCCACAAGTAGACGAAATGCTTGCTCTCCGACCAGTTACTTACCGCCGTCGAGACGCACGGATACAGACGGTGGATCCAGATGTGAAATCGAGTGGAAGGGGTGGGGGGTAAAAAGTCGACGAACTACCCGCTGCAGAGTGCCCGCAGCCAAGGTGAGAGGGGACACACAAACGCACCCACACAGTAACAGGAACATAAAAAGTGGCGTCAGCGGTGGCAAAAAGCAGTCAACCGACGCCAGGTTGGTGCACCAGTTTTGACAAGAACAACAACATCAACAAGGAAAAAAAGGCACGATGGAACTCCACGAAAAGGTTCTGGCACTCGCTCGACAGCTTGGCATTCGACTAACCACTGGGGCTTCGTATCAATTGTTGACACCTTCGATGCGTACACAGGGGACGAGAAAGACGTCTTATCGAAGACGACCAAACGACCGGTCAGTGGAGTAAGCCTTAAGGCCCCCACTAACCCACCGACCCCCTTGAAGGGTTTTGGCAGCGCTTCGTAAGACGGCAAAATTAATGCTTATCCACAAACCATGAATTCCGCCACACTGAATACAACATTTGACGGGTGATGGTGGAGGACGTATTGCCCTGGTGAGGCGCTATTTTACAGTTTGCAATAGATCCCACACCCAAATTTAGTAGCTTGATGACCGCTTTAAGAAAGACTTCAGACGAATAGCAAAAATTAGATGCTTCATCTCCTCAGGCAAGTCGACAATACCAGGGGAAGGTGGGCAAGGAACAGGAGCAAATTTCGCTTTGCAATGAAAGTGCTAAAGATTAGATTGTGCCAAAATACGATACTAAATTGCCAACACTGACAGTTACTGAAGATTAGGATATTGGGGGGAAAAAGAGGCACCATAGATGGGTAAAAAGATCATACAAAACGAAGTACCCATGGCATTCTACCGTGCATCCAAAGTCCAATTTGTTATTGGTACGATTGTGAACTAAACTATTTGAACAATTTCTTCTGAAAGCAAGAAATTGGTCAGTGCTTAGACCAGACACGTCGGAGGCTTCTGCGTTAACCTGGATTCAGCGTCGGTGGACGAGATCTTCCACAGGCACTCACCTGATGAGTCGTTGGATGGCCAGCGCCAGCTGGACGCAGGAGTGAGCGTGGTCAACGCGCACCTCCGGGTAGCCCGCTACGCACAGGATCTCATTGGGCCTCAAGTGCACGACGTAACAGCCATTAGCCTGATAAAAGAGAAAAAAATTGGGCACTAGGGAAGAGTGTATCAGACCGTTGTGCCCCAATTGCATTAAAATCCTTTTGTTGATATCGTTTGTAGCGTCAGTTTGAAGCAACATTGCTTAACGAAGGTTCTGTGGACCCAGCATCGGTATTGTAATTTTAAATCAAAACAGAATCGTTCCCAACATACCACTGGCAGTATGGAGCAGAATGTATGGGACTACGATAAATTTGTGTGTCTATCTATCAGCGTGGTGTAGCTTAGCGTAAACCACATGCAAAAAAAAATTATTTTTTTCTGAAAACTTGTCCTGAACTTGGTAGGTGGGTCTCACGCCAAGCAGAAAAGCTGACGGACATCGAAGAGGAAACGGCAACGAGAATATCCAGGCATTAAAAGGACTTTTCTACTGTTTCGGGAGGTACCGTCACCCATTTGCAAAAATGAACGCTTTGATGATCCCACGACCTTGAAGGTTGTGTTTTCCACGCTCCGCAATCAACTCCCATCATTTGTTAATCCAATTTACCATCCACTTGAACTCCCAAAGTGAATTATGTTGAAGCAGAAGTCAGACGTGCCGTGTCGCGGTTCTAATGAGGAGTATGCTGATACATTAAAGCAACATCGGCGTGAAACGATGGCAAAAAACAGTTTTTAAACAGAGTTGGTGCAGTGGCAAAAGAAGGTAGCCCTTAAATTCTTACGAATGTATCGTTTTTCACTCGGTAGTGGAAGTCGAAATATGACCACAACGAGGAATGACGTGAGCACACAGGTGGAATCAACTATTTCAAATTGGCGCACGACATTTGAGGCGTGACATTCAAGAAACGGTCTATTTCAGCACAGATGTTCTAATTCGGCATTATTATTATTATTACCCTACAATGGGAGAGGGTTAATTTAGTGTTTGCTCCAATGAATACCACGCTGGATTTAATATCGCTCAACCTAGTGGGACATTATCTGGCTATAAACCACCCCGAGCGCTTTGGATGCCACGGTGATTTAAACAGTGGCCGGGTTTGAGCCGAGAACGCACGATTGTCAACACAACAAGGCAGATGAGAGACCACACGCATCACCCAGGCCTAGACGTGTGTGCTTGAGAATTGATGGGCATCGGACACAGGCGTACCAGGCCTGTGTCCGCTGTCAGGCCTGCGAAGAGGAATAAATCAAAGAGACGCCGCTAAACGCGCCTGTTGGTCGGACACGCAATAAAAGGTCACAAGAGGGCCGCGTTACGGACCGTATTAATTGTCTCTTTCATTCAAGTAAATACACCGCGAAGGTCAGTTGGTTTGGCCTTGAGGGCCGACGAACGCAGACACTTTAAGCAAGGCCTGCAAAGATGCCATTTGGAATCTTACGCGGGATGTTGAAAGTGCCGGTGGAAAACAATGGACCAGAGGGTGGAAATTCCAGGCAGACTGGCACAGCTTCGTGTACCAAGTCCACTATCCACCCTTGTCCTATTGGAAAGTAGGACTTCGGACAAAATGAATCGGACAAATTTTGATTAATAGTGAGGGTTAGGTGCATTACGAGTTCAACTGTCACGACCTTCCAGAAAACTCGGTCTACGAGACCGTCTTTTAGACAAACTTCAGGAACAAACTCCAGGCTTGAATTGGCGTCAGGCCAGTTCAGAAGTTGGTCAAGGCGCACCTTCGTGCTTTCTCCACCTTGAGCGGTTGGAAGGCGGTAATTTCTTCCGCCTTCTTGACTGCAGGTCTAAATTCTGGTTACTGGAGATCAGGGCCAATGCAATACACGAATTTATACAGGTGAAGAATCTCGTGAATACATAACATCAGACATGTCTGATTAAGTGCACGTACGTAGAATGCATAAATTCGATTCCAGAGGCACCACCCACTGGAAATTTGTTGACTGAGAGGAAGGGCAGGAAGAGGATGAGGGGTGATTCAATGTAGCTACGAGGCAACTTCCACTCTTGCCCGCGTTTTTTATGGATATGTAAATCCCCTTACGATAGACGTCGGAATTGCATTTCCGACCAAAACACGCACACACACGCCCAAGGAAAACGAATTGGCCAAGGGAGTTGGGCTTATTGGCAGGCGTTACATCGAGTGGCTGTTGATTTAATGCGCACACATTTAGGTGATTTGACAAAGCACGTTGATTTAATTGATACGTTAGGCGGAACGCGACACTACTAGTAGTTGACGTCCAAGTGACGTAAGTGTGAAATTAAGGAAAAAATATCGTTAGGATGAAGCAAAAGCACGAAAAAAAATTGAAACGCACCTCAGAAAGCGCCTTTATCTGGGAAAGGAGTTGATTGGTAAAGGAAACCACGTGTGCTGGCGCAGGGTTGGGGAGGCGCTCGGCCTCCTGCGACTCCGACCCGGCCACCGAGCCATTCGAGGTACAGAAACCGACGAGCTCGGCGTTGAGGAAACTGGGAACGAGAAGCGGAAAGGGTGAGTGCAAAAAAGGCCAAACACATCCGGATTCTCCATGGTCCGGTGTCGGGTTACGTGTAAGACGACGCCACAGAGAGCACCCTGGTTCACTAACCCGGGTGGAATTGGTGATGAGGGGCCCCAAAACAGTCGAAGTGTTGTGTCTCCAGGGGAAATAAACACGTTACAATACACCAACCACCTCAAAACACACTCAAAACGAATTTCGCTGGCTAAATTCGTTAGCAAAACTAGAGGTTGGGAAGCCTTGAATAACTAGAAACTGGGCGTTTGATAAACTTCCTGTCCAAGACTTAGTGCAAGACGAGGGTGGTTGATAAACTGCTTCGCACAAGTGCTTAGGAAATAAACCACAGATATCGTGGGAAGCCATCCAGGAGTGCAGGTAACAAGAACTACAAACTAGTCTTGGGACATTTTCGCTAAATTATCAAGCAAATCGACATGAAGTAACACGGAGGGGGGTTTGAAGTGTTTCAATGTAGAAGGCAATGCCCTAACGCAGGGCTTACACACAAAGGCCTAATGAATTAGATTAGTTTACGAGTATAAAAGCGTCAGCTTGACATTTATAACGCACATGTAACCTTGAATTAGCCAATAAGAACGCGCAGAGACCACCACACTCAGTCATATGCGTTATTCGGTGTGTGGGACCGAGGTATCCGCTAGAGGGAAAGAAGTGTCCAGTAAAAAAAGGTCTAAGTCGATAATTTTGACAAAGACCTCTGAAAAAAGGGCAGATTTTTTATAGGTTTGTGAAAGATAGCAGAAGGAAGGTGCGAATAGCAACTACGGTGATTCTGCTGAAAATGGGTGGATGCAAATCAACCAAAATAATTCCATAAAAGAATAAGAATCCATTACAAAAAGGCAGCCAATGAGAAGACGAGAACAGATTTCAGGGTTATCGGTGAAAACCGCGACGTCAATACCACAGAAACAAGGCGGCATTTTGAGGTAAAGAAACGAGGAAGAGGGGATCGAGATGCCTTTGGATCTATGTGGTAGAACCAGTTTCGGCTACGACTAGGCTTTCTACGCACCTAGGCCAAATCGAGAGAGAGAGAGGAGTCGGGGTTACGCACTTCGTGTCCGCTTAACTGCAGTTTGACTTTATGACCGCGGTGTGATCGACCCGAAAAGCGCTTAACGGGGGAGTAAGAGAGGGCGGTAATTGAAGGCTAGAGATACCGCGTCGCTTCTCAGGGGGGTTATGGCGCGCTCAAAGGGACAGCGCATGTGACCATTACGCGTCGTATTTACCTTACTTAAACAACCCGCCAGAAAGACATATTTGAAAATCGATCAGCCGTATCAGGTGATTATCTGAATGAGGTTGAGCAATGTGAGTGGCCAGAAATGTTGCAAAGGGGGTTACTTTCATGCCAAAATAGATTCAGATTCTGTAGGCGGATTGAATAAGTATCTAAAGGATATTAAAAAAGGCAGGAAGTTATTTACTAATGATTATGTCCTCACAAGAATAATTAGGGTCTTTCTAAAGACAGCTTCAAATTATTTGGGGGACCATACTGCTGTGTGTGCGTGTGTGTGAAATTTAGAGGCATTCGTGGACATTTGTGGTCGAAATTCACAAGGTGATAGGCGTCCACAAGGGTTTACTCCCAATTTGGGGCCAAGAAGTACTACCAAACAATTAGATGTTTCGCTGTGCTTCGAGATTTTGTAGGTGGGCGAACGATATCGAGTTTGAGTGGGGTTTGGGTGAGTACTGATTTACTCAAGTCGGTTGGTTTGTGTGAGAAGCGATTAAAAGGAGTAAACTCATATGAAACTGACAAATGGGCAGGTAGTTGGTGCCATACGCGGACTGACAAGCCTCTACGTCATTGATGGCGTGGAGGCGAGTCCAAAATGACGAAGCTGACGATGACAGTGTGCAATTTGTAGACAGCAGTGACGCTGAGATGGCTAATTTTGGTGGGGAAGTTCCAACATCTGGTTACTGACTGCATAAATTCGCGGACACGCAGAACATGCGTGACATCCAAGTTGAATGAGAAGACACGGTTAACCCTGGGCACCCCCCTACTCCCCGATTTCTTGCCGATGGCTACCTAAGAGTGAGATGGGATTTGAGTAGGTGACAGAATCTGTACCTCCTTCCACAAAAGAGAAACTATCCTGTCTAATTTTTCTCCACTAACAAGTTGTTCCACCAGCTGAAGTTGGAGTTATCGGCCATCACCAAGTTCCGCCTCGCATATCATCGTATTACAACCATCAACCACTTATGCAAACTTCGAAAATGCGGGAATGAGGCCTTAGTTACCCAGTAGACATTAGTGCAGGCGAACAGTCGACTCGCAAACTAGAGCACAGGGGCTAGGGAAATGTGACAAGTAGCAAAAGATGCCAGGGAGGTTAAATGACGGTTCAGCAAGTTGCTGTCACATACGAGAACATTGGCTGGAGAGGGGTCCACTGCCACAAGGTGACGAAATTTGTCAGATAAGGGGGAATTTGATTGTTAACACAAATTTAAAAACAAGGATAGGGAACCCAAGTACGTCCAGCACAATGTGTAATGAAGGAAAGGCATTCTCATAAAGAGCCATTTTCTTAATGGAAAACAGTGCGATTTTCGAACACTGACCTGACATTTCGAAGGTAAATAACGAGTGGCGACGACCAGGTACACGCGGTTGTAGAGAAGTCGCGTTCCAGTTCTCCAGCCAGAGGCGGTGGAACAATTGAACGAGAGACGAGGCTCTGAAAGAAACGGAACCGGGATTGAACCAAAATAGGGCGTATTCAGAAGACTCTCAAGCCACACATGGCTATTGATATCTTTAAGCGCATAAGGACTTAATGAGAAGACCAGTAATTACTCAACTGGCCCATGCAGACTGCAGGTGCGCAAGCAATTCGGGCTACAGCCTTGGTGACTCAGCCGATTTATTGAAGGTATATTCAGTCGAACAATAAAGCAAGTTTGCATGGGGACCCCTAGGCATTTGCCACATTGGGAATCGGCAGAGACAACTAGGTAACGTCGAAGCACAGATTGGGGCGAAGACACAGGCGAACAGGCCAGGTTTTGGACGACAGATGAACGCGCTGTTCAAGCGTCCCTAGTTGATGGTGGCTGTGTGCAGTGCAATACGCCCATACCTCTTTCGTTTGAGGAAAGGAGATATGTGCAAAAGGCAAAAAACACAAGCTTTTTACAACCGCTAAGAACATGAAGTAACGATGAAAGCAAGACGAAAGCGCCTAACAGACACGGCTGCATTTAGACCAACTGCAAACATGGGAAGGTAATTACAGTTTTTGCCAAGTGAAGTGAAGAAGCAAAAGACGCGCCAGAACTTGAAGGCAGTGATTATGAGAATTGAATAATGAATTGCAACTAGAAGCCCATTTGTTGTAGCAAGCAATTGAAAAAAAAACGAAAAGATGGATGTATTAACTCAGTAGATTCCGCGAATTGAGATTTGGAGTCAATTAAATTATGAGCTGGCAGAATGGACTCAATCAAAATTTACATAAGCACAACTGCGCATCGCCCTAAATGAAAAGAAACCCCCAAAACTGTTGGCCAGCTGGAGCAGTAATTAAAGGGGATTAAGGAGAGTGGACAGTACCTACGAGGAAACAGTTGTTTGGAATGCTCCTGCATTCAACGCCTGCAAAATATCCCACTCTCAGGAGATTAAAACTGGGGAAGGACAGGACAACGATTAGGCGAAATTGGACAAGACAAGAACTTACAAGTTTTTTTTGTGTCAACGTCAGGGCTGACTTTCTGGCGGCGCTGCAAAGCATGACACACAAGCAGCGCCAGCGTTCAAGGTTGTTCGCCTTAGCCAATTGCCAGCCGATGAGGTTGGTGAGGGCGAAGGCCACTAGGTTCACCATTACCTAAACAAAATAGAGGAATAGGATGGTGTTTGCTTTGGTGGATAGCACTTTAAAAAAGGCATGCCACGTTGCCGTCGAATGCACACGCAAATGCCCTGGTGACTTGGTGACAAACCACAAAAAGGACTTTCGACGATGCATTGCAAGGAACTCGATCAATAGGCCGGGTCTTGGAGGTCTTTCTGAGCTCACTGTGCAATAACCATTTTCGTACTTTAAAATGGCGAATAGTTAACCCCGCAATACCGTTAAAGGATGAAGTACCCCCGGAAAAAGTACCGAGGCCTGACTTGGGCCTCGTAATTTCTTTAAAACACTTAAGTTGCGGCAAAGCCAGACATAGACCAAAGTAAGTGAGGTAGTGAATCGGTACCCAGTGCCCGAAAATAAGCATTCAAGAGCCTTTATTTAAGGAAGCAGGAAGCCTACCCCTCTCCAGAACACTACATCAGTAGAATCCCACCAAGAGGCTACTACGCCAGCGTCGTCCCAAGCGTATGGGCGCAAAGGACCATCGAGAGGACAGAGGTACTGTCGACGGCTGAGTCGAGAAGTGTACTTTGTAATGATAACCATGAGTTGATGAACGAAAGCGATGGCTGTACAAAGCAGGATGCGAGTTCTACATCGAAGCTGGCCGGAGAGGAAAACGTGAATGGCCAGACAAAGGCATAGTAGGGGCCAAAGGCCGTGAAAGGTTATCTCAAATGAACTTCCAATTGACACTGATAGGTAGCTGCGATCTAGAGGGAAAAAATGCAAAGGTGAGGTAAATGATAAGTCCCTGCGCCTGTAAGCACGATGGTTAAAATGCTGTTAGTAATAGTAAATTTATAAATACAGTAACATGGGTACATACTCGAAGATAACAGCAGCTTACATACACCCAAGACCTTACAATGGATGACAAACTTACTCTTAGATGCACTTTCGCTTTCATTGAAAATTTGGCGGCATCCAGATAAATGTAATGCGAGATCAGACGATGAGGTTGACTCAGTAATCGATCCTGGTGTAGGTAGGCAAGCCATTGTGAACAACGTCACAACGATGGGGGCACAAAGCATGGCCCTTCGGAGCCGCTTCATTGCCAAAGCTGCAAAATGGCGAGCACACACTGGCTGATTCACCTTTCCACACTGCACAAGTCCCAAAATAGAGGATATGATGGAGCCAAGAAAGAGGAAGGGTTGTTGACTAAGACTGAATTTTGGCGTGACCATCAGCCGGATGGAAGCAAGCACAGCAGAGAAAATTGACACGGTTAAGAGGAAGGAAAAGAAAGTTCGCATGTGCCATAACACCAAAGGAGAAGTGTAAGTGGAGTAAAAAAAACGGACAATAGAACAATGACCTGAAGATTTGCGGCGAAGTTTAGTGGGTGTTGACATCATAACCTAAAAAAACAGGAACAAGAGTTTGACAAAAAGGAACTCATTGAAGTAAAGGGAATTGTAACAAAACGGATTAGCAAAGTGGGAGGATGAAAAAAGGAAACCAGGCTATTAAGAATAGGCTAAATTATTGGACACAATTAACTCTGATACATACAATAAGTAAGCAAGAATTCTAAAAAGTATATCGAAATGGGGTTGGAACATGTGGATATTGCAATTACAAGTAGAGAAGGGGACTAAACATGAAATATCAAAGGCATAGAGCCAAATGTTATAAGGTTTTAGCAAAAAATATAGCCTACAATCTTACTAACCTAATTAAGATATCTATTAGGCAGGTAAATATTTAAATTACCATGATTTCATGGGATGTAACATCGGGGTATGAATAAAACAGTTCTGTAGCAAATAAATAGCAACCAGCTCAAGTAAAAGGATTACCATTCTAAGAAACGATAACCGCACTAAAATTGATGTTGTAATGAAAATGGAAGTAGATGATGGAATATGAGGAGGGGGATTCACATCACGATACCCGCCTGGCCAATAAGAAGTTTGCCCATGATTTTTAAAGTCAACACATACTCGTCAATAGGTATCCTTTACGAATTAAAACATAAACGACTTTCTGCGAGAAGCTAGATGAAGCAAAAAAGGTGAAAATTTATTCACTCTCACAAATTTGATCATAACATACTAAATTTAATGCAGGAGGTACCTCTGCTTTTTTAAGTACACTTAAACTTGGTACAGGGACGCTGGTTCAAAGTTAAAAAATAAAACGATACTCTTTTGGGCTAGTGCTGTACATTAATTATGCCTGACATACAAAGTAGAGAAAATCACACATAATGCTAAGCTTAAAGAAGTTATTGTCACAGTGAGTGCATGTTGGTTAAGTATGTATTAATAAACTTGTATGAATTATAATAGGAAAGTGTGATATTGATCCTCGACCGAACTTTGCAACATGAAGTTGTAGTAGGTAGACAGCAACCTTGCGTGAATGATTCGTTAATGATGGCCAAACTGTATAAATGACGCCCTTTTTGTTACTGGCTCCTATTAAAAATCGCCACTTATGCACGCGTACGCAAACTCTCATGAAGCAACTTGACTGGCTTAACGCCAAAAATGTTGTGTCAGACGTCTCTTCTCTTGTTCCTCTTCTCGGATTGGTTATAGCTGTTAACTAGAGGGCTATGAAGTACACTCTAGACGCGTGCTTGTCAAGCTTAATAACAATATGTTCTAGCTGATCACCATGTTAAGGCTCTTTACCACACTAAGTAACACAAAAAGAAAATAAATCTTGAGATGGCAGGCATGATAGTTTACCACACAGCTCAACCAAGTTGTGTGTATATTGGTGCAGTTGTGTGGACATGCAAGAATAAACACAGGCGTCTGCAGAGAAGTTAATGAACCGGTGGCCTCATGTGACTGAAGGGCACGCCATGAAAATGGGTGACTCGTTGAAGGCTGCGATGACAGGTTTATTGGACGTGAATCAGTAGGATTCACTGTAACTACTGGATGAATTATTTGTACAATACAGGAGTAAATTGCATGTGTACTAACCAATGCATTTGATTTGGGTAGGTAAATGCAGCTGCTGTTCTGCGGCATCAACCATGAATTTCCAAGTCCATATAAAAAATATTAGAAATTCTAAATAAGAACTTTTATTAGTAAACTAATGTAGGTTCAAATGTTCTACCCCATTACACACGTCGTACTTTTCATTAACATCGTTATATTATTCATTGCAAGACACCCATTCTGATGTTATTTCTCAAATCGGAGATTGTAAAAAATCTTGAAAATATAGGTTAATTAGCAAACATCGATGACTGATACATTACTTTGGTCCAGATATATAGACACCAGCCATGGTCTACCTCCTAAAAGTATGTTCCAAGGCTGTTAACAAACGATTATGGCATGATTTTGAAGAAACGGCCAAATCTTAGATCAATGTTTTTCCAAAACAGTTAAAATTTTGCACTGAACAATTAGATCAATTAAAACTTATGTTGTTACCTAAAACATTTTTAAAAATTATTATGGAGATCACCATTTCTGGGATTATAGGGAAGATAGAGGCACTAATGAGATAGGCAAAATTATAAGCACGGGGAAATTACGTATAACACAATTCACGCTTACTAAAAAACTTCAAAGTTTTTCAATTTGCTTTTGAAAATCTAGTTTACACAGATTTATTTCATGGCCTAACGAAGCAATTAACAGAAAAATGGACGAATATATTTAACCAGATTTTCAGGTATATCAACGCTGGTGAATGCTTTACACGAAATGATAATTATCCATAATTAAATTCAGAACCCATTACTATTCCATGTTAGAATAAAATTCAAACAATAATAATAATCTGAAGTGGTTGAAAATTGCTAAATTCCATGGCATCATAATTGGTTGGGTGGTAATGCTAAAGCCTTTAGGCAACTGCACTATGTCAACCGACCTAAATATCTTCCACATCATACAGACATCAAAGTCTTATTTTCGTTAGTAAAATTCCTTATTAACAGAATCTTTGCGAAAAAAATTATTAAATGACTTTATCTATCTGTGAAATTTTCGGCATTTGAGTCGCGTTCGATTGATTACTACAATGACCAATGATTCTGCGGCATTTTTCAATTTGGTTGCTCAAGGGCGTACCCTCGAAGGCGTGAAACAATTTTTCAGAGATGAACATTCAACAGATTAGTTCTGATGACTCTTTAAAGGAGGTGATGAAACAGCTCTCTAGTGACTCAAATAAGCTTGTACTTCTCGACTTTTTTGCTTCTTGGTGTGGACCCTGCACGGCTATTGAGCCTGAAGTTAAAAATCTATGCTCACGCTTTCCTTCTGTAACCTTTCTTAAGGTAGACGTAGATCAGTGTTCGGTAAGGACCTAGAGCTTCTACATTCGATGGTCTTCTTGGCGTGTCTTTCTGACCTTTTTTGATCTATTTAGGATGCGGTGTCGAGCTTTGGTATTGTCCAAATTCCCACATTTGTTATTCTACGCGGGGGGCAAACCATAGAGACTATAAAGAAACCAGACGTTAGTCTGTTGCGTCAAAAGCTAACAGAGCTCACCCAAGGCACCACAGATCCGTCGGCCGCTTCATCATCTCACGCAGGCTCTATTCCCCCACCAGTTGCCCCCGTGCCAGGTTTCGTAAGTTTTTTTGGTGCGGACAAATGGCACACTTTATAATTTATGCCCAAGTTATTACCAATTTTTTTGCAGATGGATCTCGTATCGTTGTTAGATAAGACACGATGTGAATGTCTGAATTGCCACAGTGACCATGGGCTCGATTGCGCCTTGGAGAAGGATATGAGCTACCTTATTTCGGACACTGATGAGCAGGTAGGGATGTTTTAGTGTTCATGACATTTATTCTCAAATGTGACCTTTTAGTTGACTACTTTGCTTAATTTCTTGCCTTTTCTGAAAGGAAATTTTTTAAACTATTTGCTCTTGTGATAAGTTACGACCAAGTTTATTCGACTGCTCGATCTGTTGCGGTATTTATTTAGATGTTTTTTTATTTTGTCTTCTTAAAAAGCCATGCCGACAGTGGCATTTGCATTGAACAATTGCAAATTTGTGAATCTTTGCGGGGTTAAAAAAATTCTGGCTTTCCTCTTGCATTGTCATGCGTTTTTTTCCATGCGCATCGGGATTTGGATGTATTATTGGTATACAATGTACAGGAAACATTTTTATCGTAAAATGTAAATAATGCCTCATCAAATCACATTCTCCTGAGAATCTAAGTTGTTAGATTTGTGCTGACAGTATTTCTTTAGTTTCATCGACTAATTTTCTTCCACTATGCACTGTCCGAACTAATGTAAAACGATTTTAATTGTATCTCCTTTCGTTTTTAGCTCATAATTTTCCTATCGTTCTCACAAGCGATCAAGCTTCATTCTTTGCGAATCACCGCCCCCGAAGGTTCGTGTTCTTCTGGCATTATGCCATTACAAACTTTTTACATAAAATTGGTGAATTGAGCATAAAGCGCTAACATAATAATCAATAAAAGCAATTTCCTAATTGCTTACAGATTCCGGCCCCAAAAATATCAAAATTTTCACCAACCAAACTACAACTCCGGATTTCGATGCGTGTGAAACCGCTGTCCCAGTTCAAGCCTTCACGTAAGTGTTCATTATTTCAACATGTGCATCGCGCTTTCTAAACTCATTCATATTTATCATTTTTAGCCTAACGCCTGAGGATCTTAAGGCAAAGTCTCTTATTCAGCTGAAGTACGTAAAATTCCAAAATGTTAACAGTGTGACGGTGAGTTCATTCACTGATTTATTAACTCAATATAAACTATCATTCTGTTGACGTTTTTCATGTCTAATGCAATTATTACCCAACCCTGCTTTCTAACCTAACCACAAACTTAGCATCTACACCGAATGGCAATCCAATCAGGCCAGAAAGTCCATAAACCAGTTTTATTTTGTAAACTTGCCTATCAAATGGCTACAACGCCATAGGTTGTTTGATTTAAGTCATTTTTGTTCAACTCGTCTAGTATCGACTGGTAATAAATAGCTGCAAAGCGCAACACCGCCGCGAACCTTATTGTTGACCCAGCGGCTTTTTTGATTCACCTAACACAGCTAAATGTTTTGTACCTTAGTTTGGTCTGATTATCTAGGTCCACCGGTCAAGTGCTCATTTACTTCAAGGAATTTTACTATTCGATTGCTTCCATCCCCCTGCAGATATTTGTTCAGGATAACCAACAAGATGTTGGGCAAACGCGTATCACAAATCTCATCCTCTACGGCTGTCCGGTGCAGAACGTTACAAATATGAACGAATTCAAGAGGGTAAGGAATCGCTTACAATCCGTTCAAGGTTGCTTTGATGTGAAACGGTTGGTTGTTTTGGGGTTATCAAGTGTGTGTGTGTGTGTGTGTAGGCTTTTACTCAGTAATGCGGTGTTAACAACTCATATTAAGTAGTTGTGCTTGATTTATTCTAAAAGTTCTTTTTACCTTCTTTTAGGTGGCTGGAAAGAAAGGGGAAGTGCACGGATGAGGGCATCGCGAGGTTTCTATCCTCCGTTCAAACCAAACTTACCTCCGAACTCGTGATTGGTGTTTATTCCTTGTAACATTTCAAGACAAGATAAATTTGACCGTGATGTACTCTCGGAATTCAGTCGGTATCCGATGTCGCTACCTACAAGAGCTAGACTTCATTGTTGATCTAAGGTGGGTAATGGTGGATAAAGGCGATCAAGAGAAGACACGCTAAAGCCAACGTGGGGAGGTTTGCCAAGGTGTTCATTTCCTCGCGAGTTCACAAAAGTTGACATCAGCCAGTATGATGCATTTGGGTTAGAGAAAAGCCATTTTCACCACGGTTTCACCTCTGTACGTCACACCATGCCTCATCATCTATTGCCTCGTGAAATAGAAGTAGAGGAAGATGATGTCACTTCGTCAGCATCTTCCCATCATCTCTTCTGTCGGAATCCTTATCGATCTGCTTCTCCAGGCCTCTCGTTATTTCCTCATTAGTTGTACTAGTGGTGAGGTTTGGCAGAAGTAGATTTCCAAATTTACTGGGGTGCCTAGTGACGTTATAGACACCTTCCTCTTGTACCAAACACGCGCATCTGGCCTTCTTATGGGGTTCACACTTCCCCGCACAGCACCAACCGCCACTTCAACCAATACTCCAAGCACAGACCTACATTCTTGAACGTCTGATTGGCAGCAGTCGCGGTCGCTGCAGACGTAGTCGTTGATATTGGCGTTATGGTACTAGCTGTATATCCGTCCCCATCATCTTTGCTGCGGTAGACGATGACGGCGATGTTACTGCTGCTGCCGCTGTCGTCCTTAGTTTAAGCATCCAGGGTCACTGTAGTTGTAACGTGGAAAGGAAACCGTGAAGACGCGTGTTGGATTATTGCCGGTGAATCGTGTGTGGAAAATGCATTGTGTATTTGGCAAGTTAAGTACAGAGTGAGCAGTGAGAGAAGGAAAGGCAGGAGCAGTGTGGTTAAGAGTCTGTGTGTACGGTAAGTGTCTGAGTCAGTAGTAGGAGTAGTGAAATTGTTAAGAAACGTGAGAGTAGTGGAAGAAGATAGAAATGGGTGGAAACGGCGTCTCGGCGATCGCTAAGTGTAAGCATCTCACAGTGCTTAATGACACCACCGTTAATCAGTAGCCTAATTAAGTCACACTGCATGCATTCATCCTTTAACCTAGGTTGTGTTCAGACAACACATGTGGAACCCAACTTCCACATTATTGAGTTTTTTTCATTTGGTGCAAACGCTTGGAAATTGTTGTTTGGGTGACTCCTAACTGAGCTGGAAGCTCTTGTTGGGAGAGAGAGCTTCCAATTCCGCATCTTCAAAATTTCGAGGCTAAAATCGCAATCGCCCCTTCAGAAACGTTTGTATCACCCGGCGTTGGCGTCAAGAACACGTTGTGAATCGTGTTTATTCAACCCCTTAATCGGATCGCTGACATTTTGTCCTGGAACACATTCATTTTTCTCACAACCAGCTAAATTGGCCCCATTTTTTTCAGTAGGCCATAGTTTTGAAAAGCACTTTAGCTCATGTGTATAAAATCGGTTGATATAGAGACAGACATCCTACAGAAACGCGGTGTCCAGTCAATTTGTGTTGCAAGGATTTATCAAACTAGTGGCGCACACTGGATGCTGGAACCTAATCGCACGAAACAGTTTCCACTTTGCCACTTTTCAGAGAAAACCACCGCTAAACTCCTTAGTCTTGTTCCTTCAAAGAAGAAACAGACGACACAAAACTCCAAATCTGCTCTTTAACTCAAATAGTGTTGAAATCCCTCTCTGGACGTAGACAAGGGATGTACGCGTGTCCGTTTTCGATTTGGTCTGATGTTTTAAGTTACCAGCCAGTCCCACTATTATTCACGGGTTTAGCAATTGTTTTTCTATGGACATGCAGTGCAAATTGCTGACTTACAAATACGCCAAATTGGCACCGACTAACAACAAAATCGACAATCACCCTACCGATCTTTGGGTCATCTACACTGCTGTTCGTGCACTTGTGAATTGTGAAAGCAATCGAATGGCGATATGTTGAATTCAGCCAAAAGGCACTCACTTGCATTTTGCACAAGACAGGACACTTTGGAAGATGTAGAATATGAGTAAAGCAGCAACCAAAACATTCTAACCAATGGAAACACGCTAACAACTCCTTGAATTATTTCACAACACATGCAGTCAACGTATTAATAATTTAGGAGCATTTTGTGATTATGTGTGAATCATTGATGGACTTATGAGATTAATTCGTCATAATAGGGTTTTTCTGTTTGCAGAATCTAAATATCTTAATATTTAATCAGTTTTTTGATTTTTCATGGGCCCTTTAGGACGTCGAAATGAGCGATCAAATTTGGACCAAAGATCATTGGTTCTTTTGTTGACCTTAGTGCTCTCTTCAACAAAATTCGAAAACGTGATTGCACTTCGGCTTTCAGACAAGACCAAAGAAAAACATTTAGCATTTTTTAACGTTCCGATTTTGCGCAGTTTTGAAATTGATAGTGATCCCAGGGTCACACTGATGATGTTGGGTGGTCATGGTATTAGCACTGCAACAGAACTATTTGACGTTTCTACTTGATAATTTGACTTTCAGGATATGTAGTTAGTGAAGAACTTACAGAATTTGTCTTATCACGGAGTTCGTGTTGAAATTTATGATCAGGGAGAGAAATGGTGTGCCTAGAATCTCAGCTACTACAAATCGTTTGTATATCATAAGCGTGCTTGTTTGCCACTTTCATGTTTTTTCCTATTTGTTACGTTTGTCCGTAACAATAGAGAATACCACTCAAATAACGGTACCAGATCCCTTGCTGAAAGCTAGAACCGACCTTCCCAGGTTAATACCAGAACAAGAACAGAGCTCGAGTAGAGAGCTTTATTCACGTGAGCCACGTGCAGAGAAGAAGTGAAATCGAAAG